GTCAAGGACACCCTTCTCCCTCTGTGTAGATATGATAATGCTCTGCAAACTTTCTCACAATGGAGGCTTCCAGAGATATGATCTGAGGGCTGTGGCCTGAGCAGCCAGATAAGGATCTTGCTAAGGAATTTGGAGGTTTCCAGAGACGTGATCTGAGGGCTGGAGCCTGAGCAGCCAGATAAGGGTCTTGCTAAGGAATTGGGAGGCTTCCAGAGACATGATCTGAAGGCTGGGGCCTGAGCAGCCCGGCTCTGTGTAGCTGTACCAGGGAGAGAGATAAGGATCATGCTGGGGCGCATGCATGAATAACTGCCAGGCACAGTGACCTTGGGCTGGGGAGTGGTTGCCAGAGACAGAGTTTCCGAGACTAGGGAGGAATTGGGGTCCAAGTACAAGCACAAGGACCCAAGCACCCCATCAATTGTACTTGGAGGGGGGAGTGAGGCTTTCCTGTAGACAGTCCAGCCTCCAGCTTGGAAGGTCCACTTGACCCTTAGGGAGGAGGCAGGGGCCAGAGAGCGGGAAAGCCCAACGTTAGTTCAGATGTTGTCTCCATGTGGTGTTGTGTCCAAAAAACCAAAACCAATCACCTGGTGACCAGAATGAATGAGTCAATCAGCAAGCATTTCCTAAGTCTGTTACATACTAGGCACCATGCTAAGTGAGGGAATCACAAACACCAAAGTGACTAGCCCTGCCCTTAGAGAGCTTATATTCTACTGAGATTTGTGGCATATTCACATGTAATTAAATACAGGCTCTCTAAGAAATAAGTATACAGTGATTTGAGGTGGGAAGAGAGTAATAACTGGGAGAATTAGGAAAGGTCTTTGGGAGAAAATAGCTTTTGAGCTGATGCTCCAGGAAAGCTCGGGGCTCCCAGAAGTGCAGGTGAGGAGGAAGAATGCTTCCAGAGTGACATGCACCTGGGCAGAGGTACGATGTGGGAGTCAGGACGTTGTGTCTGGGGAACAGCCAGTTTGGCCAGGGTTTAGAGCACGGGAGGAGAGTGATGTGCCGTCAGCCTGGTGGGGTCTAATGGTATTGTTTTCTCTGGGCTGCACTGGTTTTCTTTTGAAGGTCAGAGCAGCTGCCCTCAGGATTTGGTTGCTCAAGAGGACTAGAGCTTGAACCACTGGCAACTTCCTTGTTGCCTGAGGCAGAAAGAGCCCAGAAGAGGGGGACTTGGTGGCCTGCAGGGTTAGCAGAGTTCCTACTGCCTTTTCTACCTTTTACTAGTTTTTCTGCCCTGGTAAATTCAGAGGTGGCAGGGAGCAACATCGAGGTAAATTGTGTACTTCGTTCGTTCCGTGCCTGGAAAAGTGGGCTGGGGCCAGACTGTGAAGGGCTTCACAGACACCAGAGAAGAGCCTGTATTTTGTCTCAGATGCAGTGGGGCCCCTGGAGCTTTTGAAGCAGCCGAGGCCGTTGTCTGGAGGATGGAGCGGGGGTGAGGCTGGACACAAGCAGGAGCTTCTTACCATAGTCCAGGAGAGAATGGGCTGCTCTTTCAGCTAAAGAGGATGCTTCTTAGGGGATTTCTGTGTTGTTCAGCAGCTCCTTCTCCCTGTGAAGTTGTGGGAAAGAACCCAGCTAAAATGTTTATTTTTAGTTTCCTGCAATCCAGTTGAACACTTCTTTGTGGTGAAGACTTACATAAGGAGAGAGGCCATTTGGTGTGGAAAGAATCCTACAGACTTTGGAGTTCAGTTTCTTACTTGCCATGAAACTTGAAGAAAATTACTTAACATCTCAGCCTTGGCTCTTTAATCCATAAAATGGGGGTGATAATAGGTAGGCTAGTTACTTCATCTAGTTATTGTATAGAAAGTATTTCAGAGTAGTGAGTGGTTACTATTAAGGATAAATCATAGAATCATAGACTTCAATTATAAAGGAGCAGTCATCTAACCTAAGTATTTTGGCAACAATTGTGAATTATTCCTTCACACTCCTTTGGGGTGATTGCTAGGTGGATTTTGTTGCCATGGACACCAACGAAAGCTCTCTGAAGCCAAAAGAAATTCAAAGAAAGTCACAGAGTAGGGCCAACCTCCTAAAGCTAATCGTAAAAACATACAATAAATGAAACACACAGTTTGGGATGGTCAGTATGGATATTTGCTTTGCTCAACTGTGTATATTTGTTATAAGGATTTTGGTTTTTCTTCCCTTGGGGGAATGGGAAAGAGAAAAAAGATAAATGTTGACTTAAAAATTTTTTTTTAATTTAATAAAGCATACTCTATTCAGCAAATCGGAATATTATTTTGTCAAGTGAGATACCTTGCGTCTTGTCGGTTGGCTTCAGAGAAGGAATTTTTAAGCGCCTACCCTTGGGGAGCTATATTTGCGTGCCTGAAATAAAAGAGGATACACAGCATATTCTGGGTCAGGCCTAACTCAGGCCAATCCAGTAATTCAGGCTCAGGATTATAAAGCATTCAGGGACCTTAAAATAGAATAAAAACAACTTTACTGATGATAAAAGATAAAAAAAAAAGGATACAATTCCTTTTTGAAGGAATTTCAAAGAGTTGAAAAGATAATAATTTAAATAAAAAATAATTCTGTCTTCACATTGACTATGACAGCCAGCCATGCCAAATCAAGATATTCCCCATGGGGTGATAAGAGTGCTGGTAAGATCTCCAACTCCCCCAGGCTGGACCTTTTATACATCAGGTGGTGGGGAAGCCAAACAGCCTTCCTCTCCCTAACAGAAGGAACAGCTTCGCTAGCAGAAGATGTGGACTGCTTCTACTAGCAAGAGAGAGTTCTCTAGCTAGAAACAGAGTAGAATGAGGTCTTTGCGTGTAGAAATGCAACACTAGGTTTTACAAGTGTTTTCTATGGTAGTAGGAAAATAGAATCCATCCAGCAATAGAACTTTAGGCTTAAGTGTTTTCTCATTCTTCTCTTTTTGCTTATGTGATTTTTTTCTTTTCTTTTGTTCTCTACTTTCTGTTGGCCCTGTGAGGATAAACTAAGGTGAAAAGCTAGATTTGAATTGTAGAGAAATACAGGCTTAGAAAAATCAAAAATCAAACAACAAGCATTTATTAAGCACCTACTATGTTCTGGGCACTAAGAATACAAATACAATGGATGAAACAGTCCCCATTCACAAGAACTTACATTCTAATAGAGAAGACAATGTGTAAGTATAAACAGAATAAATATAAAGAGAATAAATTGTTGTATCATTTCAGTGGTGTCTGCCTCTTCATGCCTCCATTTTGGGGTTTCTTGGCAAAGATATTGGACCAATGTGCCATTTCCTTCTCCACCTCATTTTACAGATGAGGAAACTGAGGCAAGCAAGGTTAAGTGGCTTGCCCAGAGTCACACAGTTCAAAAGTGGCTAAGGCCAGATTTGAACTCAAGAAGATGAGTCTTCTTGATTCCAAGCCCAGTGCTATATTCACTGCACCCCCTAACAGCCCCAAAAGAGAATAAATACAAAAGAATTAAATCCAGTTTAGAGGGGAGGGCAATGGTAGTTGGACTAATAATGTAGAAGGTGGTACTTAATCTGAAAGAGAGGAATTCTGTGAGGAAAGGATACATTCCAGGCATGGGGCACACAGTGAAGTAAGTGCAGGTTTCAAATTATTCAGGTACTATAGAACAAGGTAGCCCTAATCTTTCAAATAATAGAGACAGTGTAGTGATGCAGCTTCCATGTGTCAAAGGGACTTTCGAAAATAGCCAGTAATTGGGCCTGTGCAAATAAGTTTGGAAAGTAAATTTCTGAATTCTTCATATGTGTACAAAACCTTTATTTCATGGGAAAAATCTTTCCTAAAACCAGGAGGAGAGAAAGCTGAAAAAGAAAAATATAGGTTAATAATGAATGGTGATGCCAAAAAATTTACTAAAATATTAACAAAGAGGGTATAACAGTATTTTCAGATTATTGTGGCTACCTTGGATTTATATCAGGCATGTAGGAATGATTCAGTGTTTGGGAAACTAAAAAGGTAATAAGTGATCATATTGATGACAATAAAACCATATGATTATGTCAGTACAGGCATACTTTATTTTATCGTACTTCATTGTGCTTTGCAGATATTGCTTTTTTTGTGTTTTGGGGTTTTTTTTTTACAAATTTAAGGTTTGTGGCAACCCTGCATCAAGTAAGTATCGTGTCATTTTTCCAACCGCATATGCTTACATCATATCTCTGTATCAAATTTTGATAATTCTCACATTTCAGACTTTTTCATTAGTATTATTATTATTATATGTGATATTATCATTATAATTGTTTTGGGGCTCCACATAGAACACCAATATGAAATTGCTGTCTTATTTTAAGAAATCACTACTACCACTCCACCCGTCAGTAACTACCACCCTGAGTAGTCAGCAGCAGTCAACATCAAGGCAAGACCCTCCACCAGTAAAAAGATTACAACTTGCTGAAGGCTCAGGTGATGGTTAGCATTTTTTAGCAATAAAGTATTTTTTAATGAAGGCAAACATTGTTTTTTAGACATAATACTATTGCGCACTTAATACACTACAGTGTAGTATAAATATAACTTATATGCACTGGAAAACCAAAAAAATTCATGTAACTGGCTTTATTGCAATATTCGCTTTACTGATACTAGTCTAGAAACAAACCTGTAGTATCTCCAAGATATGCTTGTAAAAGTAGAAAACTCCTACAATAAAACACTCATTTATGTTGAAAAGGAAATTACTAGCAATAAAAACAGACCTTTCCATATTATGACATACAGTGTTTGTCTAAAGCCAAGAGCTGGCATTGTTTCTAATAAAGAAATATTAGACACCTTTCTAAGAAGACCAGAGTTAAAGCGATGATGTCCATTGTCGCCAGTATTATGCCATACAGTTCTAGAAATGCTTCTGCCGCCATAAGGGAGGAAGTGCCCACAGCAGTGAAATCACAGTCCATGCAAAGTATCAGAATCATGTAGTGACTCATTTTAATCTGTAATTTTTGCCTCTCTGGCTTGTTTTAGGAACCTGGCTGTTGTATTTGCCTTGTACCTGGAGTATTGGCTTGGCAGCAGAGCCAGGCTGTTTTCCAGACTGGTATGTGTTGTCCCTTTTTGGCGCTGGCGCGATACTGATGCGGGGAGCTGGCTGTACAATTAATGACATGTGGGATCAGGACTATGACAGAAAGGTAAAGAAAGCCTTCCTAAATATTATGATAATACCAAGAGCTTAACTAAATTTTATAAATTAAGTTGTAAAGCAATTTACATATGTGGAATATTCGTTAATGCTATAATTACAGAATGACTTCAGAGCCCTAGCTATGTATGAAAGAGGAAATATTCAAAAATGCAGCATTTTAAAACATGTTTTCCTTCTCTGTAATCTGATAAAAATCAGCCAGAGTTTGTTTTATTTTTTCCAAAAAATGTGCAAAGTGATAAAAGGTCTGTTTTGATGTGTGTTTTTGATGTGAAATGTGAAATTCACAGACTGGTCTTGGTAAGGGTTTTTAGTACTTTTTTCCCAGCACCATCTGTTTTTTGACTCAGCAAACCTCCAGCCTTTTGGCTGATACAAAAAGTACTGAGCTTGGAACAATATTACCTGTGAATACCTGTCATTTAAATGCCACAGATCGTACCTTTTCTTGCACAAATCATGCCTATTTTAAGTCCCTACTCAAGAGTGTGACTCCTTTTTCTATTTAAAATGACTTCTATTAGCTATCTTGCTTTTCCCTCACAAGAGGCACCAAGGTTCATTAAAACATATGGGATCATAAAAGTTAGAGCTTGAAGGGACTTAACTATTTAAGTAGGTTTTACTCTGGTAGATTTTAAAGAGATTAAGTACTTTTGAGAGATCTTGACCAAGGCGCAGAGCCAAGTGGGGACTCTCCTGAGCTCTCCCCCAGACCCCTCTAAATACCTGTAAAAAATGACTCTCCACAAATTCTAGAGCAGCAGAACCCACAGAAATACAGAGAGGAACAAATTTCCAGCCAAAGACAACCTGGAAGGTCTGTTGTGCCAGGGTAAGAGAAGAGCGCAGTCCACACAGGCTGCGCCAGCACAGACCAGCCCCAGCAAACCCAGAGCCTGCTTTGGGACAACTGAGTCACTGGCAGCCGTGGCAGTTTTCAGACTTCTCAGACCACAGACACCAAACACAATTTAGAAGGTCACACCTTGGTGAGAGAGGAGCATAGTCCAGCACAGACAGGACTCTGTTGCTTTGCCCATACTCGGATATAGGTCACAGTCCTGGGTGGCAGTCCCAGGGCAAGGAGCACTGGCATAGCAGAACTCGTGGCCGCAGTGGAGGAGGGACCTTCCTCACAGTTCTAGGGCAGGAAAGAGTGTTTGTGGTCACTCACAGACCAGAGCAGAGGCCCAAAGGGGAGTAAACACCTCTCCTTAAATACTGTCTTGGAAGAACTGAAAACTTACAAGTCTCTAGAAGTATCTCTTAAAACAGCTACTCAAAACCCCTGAAGTTTGGGACCATGCACCCTCCACCCTGGAAGCAGAGTCCTACCTTAACAAAGAATTAAATGAGCAAACAATGGAAAAAACCTCTGACTATAGAAACTTTGGTGACAAGGAATATCAAAACACATACTCAGAAGAAGACAACTAAGTCAAATCTCCTACATCCAAAGCTTCCAAGAAAAATATGAATTGGTCTCAGGCCATGGAAGAGCTCAAAAAGGATTTTGAAAATCAAGTAAAAGAAGTAGAAGGAAAATTGGGAAGAGAAATGAGAGTGATGCAAGAAAATCATGAAAAACGAGTCAACAGCTTGGTAAAGGAGACACAAAAAAATACTGAAGAAAATAATTCCTTAAAAATTAGAATGGAGCAAATGGAAGCTAATGACTTTATGAGACATCAAGAAACCATAAAACAAAGCCAAAAGAATGAAAAAATAGAAGACAGTGTGAAATATCTAATTGGAAAAACAACTGACCTGGAAAATAGATCCAGGAGAGATAATTTAAAATTATTGGACTACCTGAAAGGCATGATCGAAAAAAGAGCCTAGACATCATCTTTCAAGAAGTTATCAAGGAAAACTGCCCTGCACAGAGGGTAAAATAGAAATGGAGAGAATTCACCGATCACCTCCTGAAAGAAATCCCAAAATGAAAACTACCAGGAATATTGTAGCCAAATTCCAGATTTCCCAGGTCAAGGAGAAAATATTGCAAACAGCCAGAAAGAAACAATTTAAATATTGTGGAAACACAATCAGGATAACATAAGATTTAGCAATTTCTACATCAGGGGCTTGGAGGGCTTGGAATATAATATTCTGGAGTTCAAAGGAGCTAGGATTACAACCAAGAATCACCTACCCAGCAAAACTGAGTATAATCCTTCAGGGGAAAAAAATTGACATTCAGTGAAATAGAGGACTTTCAAGCAGTCTTGATGAAAAGACCAAGAGGTGAATAGAAAATGTGACTTTCAAATACAAGGCTCAAGAGAAGCATGAAGAGGTAAACAGGAAAGAGAAATCATAAGGGACTTATTAAGGTTGAACTGTTTACATTCCTGCATGGAAAGATGATATTTATAACTCATGAGACCTTTGTCAGTATTAGAGGAGTGGGAGGGAATATATATAGACAGAGGGCACAGAGTGAGTTGAATATGAAGGGATGATATCTAAAAAATAAAATTAAGGAGTGAGAGAAGATTTTACTGGGAGGAGAAAGGGAGAGGTAGAATGGGGTAAATTATCTCGCATGAAAGAGGCAAGAAAAAGCTTTTATAGTTGAGGGGAAGAGGGGGCGGTGAGGGAGAGTGAGTGAACCTCACTGTCATCAGAACTGGCACAAAGAGGGAATAACACTCTCAATTGGGTATAAAAATCTATCTCACCCTACAGGAAAGTAGGAGGGGAGGGGGTAAGAGAGCATGCGGGGGGATACAGGGCGGGGGAAGACTGGGGGAGGGGGCAGTCAGAAGCAAAACACTTTAGAGGAAGGATAGAGTTAAAGGAGAGAGAATAGAATAAACAGGGAAGGAACAGAATAGAGGAAAATATAGTTAGTCTTAAACAACATGACTATTATGGAAGTGTTTTGCATGACTACACATGTATAATCTATATCAAATTGCTTGCCTTCTCAATGATGGGGGTGGAGAGGGAGGAAAGAAGAGAATTTGGACCTCAAAGTTTTAAAAATAAATGTTAAAAATAGTTTTTATATGTAACTGAGGAAGAATACTAAATAAATTAATTAATTTAAATAATTAAATAAGTTGAGGCAAGTCCCTCCTCCCAAAAAAAGAGATCTTGACTAATACAATTATAAAATTACAAAACCAAATTTTAGTATTTTCTTTGATTTTTTTTTAAGCCTGTAAGTGTTGATGATTAATTTGGGGAGAATTGAATTTCATGTTTATTCTGCAAGAGCACAACTATTAAAGCCTATTTGCCCGTGTGATAGTTGTGTCCATACACCTTTTTCCTCCCCAGGATTTTAATGTCATTTTTTTATTCACCTGATCTTGACAAATATCAGCAAGTCTGAACATTTCCATGTACAAAGAAAAACAATAAAAGGAGATTGTATGTGAAGTCATAGATCTGTTTGTGCCTACACAGAAAGTTATTTTGTTACCATCCATGTTGAATTTGAGAATTGGAAGAGACCCCAGTGCCCATTCAGGTCAGACCACACGCTTCAACGTATCAGAGAAGCGGTCATTCAGTCTTTACCTGAAGACTTCAAAGGAGGGAGCACCACTTGATGCAAGCCACTCTACTTTGGGGCAGCAGTAATTGTGAGGAGGTGTTTGTGGGCATCGAGCTTAAATCTGTGTCTTTGCCTCTTTTACCCGCTGCTCCTGCATCTTCCCTCTAGGGCCAAACTGAGCTAGGCTCATCCCTCCTCCCGATGCCTGCCTGAACACACCTGCCATGTCCCTGTGAGTCGTTCTCCAAACCAAACATTCCCAGCTCCTTAACTGATCCTTGTAAGTCCTGAACACAAGACCCTTGACCATCCTGGCTACCCTCCTCTGGACGCACTTCTCAGCTGATCAGTGTCCTTCCTAAACAGTGGTGCTCAGAACCGAACACTGCTCCTGTGACGTTTTGGCATTTGACCCGCAAGGGTCGTCGTGACTGGCCAACTTCAGATAAAACTGCTAACTCAGAAAGGAAAGATTAGTGAGCAGCGATGTTAACATGGATATAGTCAATGTCCTTGGTTATACTGGAAAAATAATTTTTAAAATTTTCATTTTGTAGGAGATGCCCATAACATCTGTGTCTCTTTTTACACTTACAGTCACTTTGCAACTACTCCTTGGGTATAGATTTGGGTTACTGTAATTAGAATTAGTCAAAGATTGTCCTCAGGTAGCCCTGCAGAAATCCTCTTATTGCGTATTCATATCAACAATATCTTCCTCACTCACCCTCACCCTTGCAGGAGTCGTTATTATAACACTAGTCTTGTGCACTCCTTGCTCCAAAACCTTGTTAGTATGACAGCAGTTTAATCCAAATTCCATTCCATCCCCCTATATCCAAGTGTCCCCAGTATCCTTAACCCACTTACTTTCTGTCCCGTTTCCTGTATGGAAGTTGGACTGTATGCATGGTAAAATGAGTGGCTGAGTATATAAGTTACATTATGGGGAGGGGAGGGATGGAGTGATGTTTATTTTTTTATAAGTTTCTTAATTGTGTTTTTTCCAAGCTTATTCAAATCTGAATTACTGGTTCTTGGCTATATCTCAAATACTGGGTTTTATCTTTGCATGAGGCTTTTAGTAAAGAATCTGATTTTTCTGTGTGAAGGTTACAAGGACAGCAAATCGACCAATCGCTGCTGGGGATATTTCAACTTTTCAGTCTTTGGTTTTCCTTGGAGGACAGCTGAGCTTGGCACTGTGTGTACTCCTGTGTCTGAATTATTACAGGTACATTTAATATGCATTTCCCAATATGAATGAAAAACCTGTCATTTTGAACTTGAAAAATAGTGACATGAAGCTGCTTTATTTCTGCCCTTAAGTATGCTTATTGGTCATGTAGCCAGTGTACAGACATTATTGTTCTTCTTGAAAATGACCTCAGGTACAGTGAGCATTGAACTCATAGCATTTCATAGTCATTGTGGTTATTTGATATGGTTAGAAATGCTAGCTATGGCAATTAGACAAGGAAAAAATGCAATTGAGATAGGAAAAGAGGAGACAGAATTCTCTCTGCAGGTGATGTGGTTTCCCTAGAAACTCCTAGAAATTCAGTGAAAGACTTAATTGCAACGGTAACTTTAATAAAGTAACAGGATTAAAAATAAACTGACAAAAATCATTGGCTGTTTTATATATTACAAAACTCAGCAGAAGGAGATAGATGGAGAAATTGCATTTAGAATAACCGTAGGACACATAAAATAACTGGAAGTTAACCTACCAAGACGTACTCAGGACTTATAGTGATATAACTACCGTGCAACCTTTGCAGAATAAAAGAAAACTCAGATAATTGAAGAGCTATTCATTGTTTGTTGTTAGGCCATGCCAGTAAAATTAAAGTGATACTACCTAAATTCATGTACAGTTTTAGCAGTATACTAATGAAACTTCAAAGGTAAATGTTTAAAGAACTGGACAAATAAAAACAGAATTGATTCAAAGAATGGTTCTCATTATATATGTGTATCCATTCTCTATAAGTCTTAGACTTTTGTAAGATATTTTCTGTAAAAATGTTTCCCACTCAGCAGCTTTTCTTCTTATTCAGGCTGCATTGATTTTGTTCTTGCAAAAGTTTTTTAATTTTATGTAATTGGGTGTATCTATTTTATCTTTTATGGTTACTTTTGTCCTTTGTGAGGAAAACCCATGAGCTTGGGGTAACTCAAAACGCTGGAAATTTAAATTTTGGTGTCCTCCTTCATTTATAATGGCTGTCCATAAAAGTTCTTTGATGCACATAGCTGTTGTGTTAAACAGATACTAACTGCTAAGCCGAGTTGTTTCCTGCTGGGCTTTACTGAGCATGACATTTCAACCAAACGAGGCAATCTGGTGGGTTTCTTCTCTAATTCTCTGTTTCCAAGATGTTCCTCTGCTCAGCTGGAATTACTCCTCAATAACAACATAGCATCATCACTTCCATATTTCAAGCTTAGCTGATAGTGTCCTGAAATCTGTCCTTTTACCTCTCCCTCCTCTTATCTTTCTGGGTTCTCTTTGCAGATGACCACACATGACCTTGTGGCTATTGATTCAATTTTCATTTCCTCTCTATAAATATAAATTATATTTGTATAGTTCTAGTGTTCCTATCTCTCCAGTATTTTACAGATTGTCCCATTCAAAATGAATGACAGTCTCATAACTTCAAGAAAAAGTCATTGCTTCAGTAACTTTTTGTCTCAGAATTCTAAGCAGACTTAACTCAGCCACAAACCACCTCATATGAAAGGACAGTACGTTAAAGACATGGCACGTCGCCATTTTGATTTCCAGTGTCTTGGAAGGTGGCCTTCATTTGCATGACTATTCTGGTTCTGCTTTCTTTTTTTCTGTATCAATCTTTTTTTTAAATTAATTAATTTATTTTTAGTTTTCAACAATTCCTTCCATAAGCTTTTAAGTTTTAAATTTTTCTCCCCCTCCCTCCCTGCTTCTCTCCCCAAGATGGTGTGCAATCTGATATAGGCTCTACATATACATTCCTATTAAACATATTTTCACATTAGTCATGTTGTAAAGTAGAATTAGAAGCAATAGGAAGAACTACAAGAAAGAGGAAACAAAACAAGAAAAAAAAAGAGCATGCTTCAATCTGCATTCAAATTCCATAGTTCAATGAAAAGAAATGCTAGGGAAGGTGGCCTAGCCATTCCAGATCTTAAATTGTATTATAAAGCAGTAATCATCAAAACTATTTGGTACTTGCTAAGAAATAGAGTAATGGATCAGTGAACAAGTCAATAACTGTAGTAATCTACTATTTGATAAACCCAAAGACCCCAGCGTGTGGGATAAGAATTCATTATTTTATAAAAACTGCTGGGAAAACTGGAAAAGAGTGTGGCAGAAACTAGGCATAGACCAAAATCTTACACCATGCCAAAATAAAGTCAAAATGGGTTCATAGTTTAGATATAAAGGCTGATACTATAAGCAAACTGGAAGAGCAAGGAATAGTTCATCAGTTCAGTCAGATTCATGAAGAACAGAAGAATTTATGACCAAACAGGAGATAGAGAACATTATGAAATACAAAATGGATAATTTTGATTATATTAAATTGAAAAATTTTTGCATAAACAAAGCCAATGCAGCAAAGATTAGGAGGGAAGCAGAAAACTGGTAAAGAATTTTTACAACCAGAATCTCTGATAAAGGCCTCATCTCTAAAATATATAGAGAACTAAGTCAAATTTATAAGAATACGAGTCATTCCCCAAATGATAAATGGTCAAAGGATATGAACAGGCAATTTTCAGATGAAGAAATCAAAGCCGTCTATAGGCATATGAAAAAATGCTCTAAATCACTATTGATTAGAGAAATGCAAATCCAAACAACTCTGACGTACCACATCATACCTATCAGATTGGCCAATGTGACAAAACAGGAAAATGATAAATGTTGGAGAAGATGTGGAAAAACTGGAACACTAATGCATTGTTGGTGGAGTTGTGAACTGATCCAACCATTTTGGAGAGCAACTTGGAACTATGCCCAAAGGGTTATAAAAATGTACATACCTTTGACCCAGCAATAGCACTTCTAGGGCTGTATCCTAAGGAGATCATAAAAATGAGAAAAGGACCCACATGCACAAAAATATTTATCACAGCTCTTTCTGTGGTGGCAAAGAATTGGAAATTGAGAGGATGCCCATCAATTGGGGAACGGCTGAACAAGTTGTGGTATATGAATGTAATGGAATACTACTGTGCTATAAGAAATGGTGAGCAGGCAGACTTCAGAAAAACCTGGAAAGACTTGTACGGTCTGATGCTGAGTGAAACGAGCAGAACCAGGAGAACACTGTACACAGCAACAGCCACCTTATGCAGTGACGGACTTTGATAGATTAGCCTTTCTCAGCAATGCAAAGATCTAAGGCATCTCCAAAGGTCTCATGATAGAAAGTGCTATCCACAGCCAGAGAAAGAACTATGGAGTTTGAATGCAGATTGAAGCATGCTATTTGCCATTTTTTTCCTTCTGTTGTGTTTTGTTTCCTCTTTCTGGTGGTTCCTCCTATTGGTTGTAATTCTTCCTTGCAACATGGCTAATGTGGAAAAAAACCCTGAAACTCCACTTCTTTTTCTGGATGTGGATATCATTTTCCATCATGAGACTTTTGGAGATGTCTTAGATGTTTGCACGTATCAGTCTTTCTGAACCGTTTTTAATACAGAAAGCACCGGTCCTTCTAAGGACTCGGTACTTTTACATGTTCTATTTATAGTAACCACCCCTGAAGAGTAGACAGAAGAAGAAATTATTTTTTTTTCTCTAGTAGGGTAAATGAGGCTGAGGCACAGAGAAATTTAGTGACTTGCCCACTTATCTCTTTGTTAAGGGTTGGCTGCAGAGACAGAACTTAGGCCTTGACTCAGTTTCCTTAATGAATGAGAAAGGAACTGTTTTTCAGCAGTGACAAAAAAGGGTAAATAAATCCAAAGGAATCAGGTTTTTTTTGTGGCACATTTTAGAAAACAGCCCTTTTGTCTGCATAGCCTGCAGGATATTCATTAACAAAACAAAAACCACATTCTGCACAGTGCTTCCTGAGATCGTTATGATCCCCCATAAATCAAGGATTCCTTAGCTTTTTTTGTTCAGGGACCTCTCTGGCAGGCTAGTAAAGCCCATGGGGGGACTCCTCAGAATCTTGTCTTTAAGGGCAAAAAATAAACCACAGAGGATAGTAGAAGGAATCAAGGAAGGTGTCATTTTTTCCCCCATCCAAGTTCACAGACTGCCTGAAATCTGTCTTTGAACTCCTAGGTGATCTGCAAACCGAGGTTAAGAACCTCTGCTAAGATGTAATAATAACAATAATAATAATAGCTTGTATTTGTATAGTACCTACTCTGTGCCACACCCTGTGAGTATTATCTCATCTTATAACCTTATAACAACCCTAGGAGGTAGGTGCCTTTATTAATAATCCCCATTTTACATTTGAGGAAACTGAGGAAGACATAGGTTAAGTGACTTGCCTGGGGTCTCTCAGCAAATAAGTGCCTGAAGCAGGATTTGAACTCAAGTTCCCAAATCCAGACCCAGTGCTCTAATCACTGCACTGCCAGCTGCCTACATAGAGATGTTTTCTTTTTGATTCTTTATAGACCTCTCATTTACCATAAATTTGAGTTGGCTTATATTCAGCCAAGGTGACTTAATGCAAAAGAAGGGCTGTGTGGTTTTCCAACTCTTTAGTGGCATCTTCTGTTACCTCCAGTGCCGTAGGAAAACTCAGGAACTAGGAAGAACACTGCACGTGCTTGAAAATCAGAGTTAGGAAGGAAATTTTTCTGTGTTACCTCATGACTGCTCCTCTTACCTGTAAGTTCATTATAGTATTTATCAGTTTCTGTAAGGAGCTGTATCAGATGGTACATATTTGACCTCTTCCATTTCCTCTTCATTTCAGTATAGCACTGGGAGCCGCATCATTGTCTCTGGTGGTCATTTATCCTCTGATGAAAAGAATTACTTATTGGCCGCAGTTAGCGTTGGGTGAGCTTGAAATTACTCTGTTATTACCCATCATCTCTCTTAAAAATGTTTTATTGGTGCGCTTTCCTTGTTCTTCCTTCCTTCCTTTTCTTTCCTTCTTTCTTTTCTTCCCTTTCCTCCTTCCTTCCTTCTCTTTCCTTTTCCTTTCTTCTTTCTTTCCTTCTTTTTCTTCCCTCTCTTTCTCTCTCTTTCTCTCCTTCTGTTCCTTCTTTCCTTCTTTCTAAGCACAACCTACTAACTCATTCCCATCCTCTACAAATGAAACCTTTCCCTCATACAGAGTAGATTTAGTTGAGTAAAACCAATCAGCACCTTGGCCGCGTGTGAAAACACATCTCATTCTGCCCCTCTGGTGTTCCTCCTCTTTAGTAAGAGTTGGTTCACATGTTTCGGTCGTCTTCTGAAGTCCTCACTGGCTATTGTGTTGTTCTAAGTTCTGTAGACTTTCAGAGTTGCTTTCCTTCACATTATGGTGGGCCTCTTGTAAATTGTTTTCCTGGTTCTGCTTATTTCTCCCTGTATCTGTTCATATAAGTCTTCTCAGCTTTCTCTGTAGCCATCATTTCTTATAGTACATCTTACATAAGATCCTAAGGTCATAGATTTAATTAAAGCTGGAAGAGAGCTAAAGTCCATCTCATTTTACAAACTGAGTCCTAGAGATGTTGAGTAACTTCCCAAGGTCACTCAAGTGATAAGTGACATAGGCAGGATTTGAATCCAGATCCTCTGACCTGTTGTACCAGGTTGTCTTAATATTTCATTATATTCATATAATAATTTATAATGGAGCCAAAGATAAGGAAATTGCCCCAAACTAAAAGCAAAGTATTTTTAAACATAGGGTTTTTAAAAATTTATTTGTTTTTAAAGAGTGATTCACAAGATTTGTTAAATAATTAAAAATACCCTAGATGAGGGATTCTCAGTCTTACTTTGTCATGGGCCCCTTTGACAATCTGGTTAAACCTATGAACCTTTTCAGAATGATATTTTTAAATGCATAAATTAAAATATATTTTGCATTACAAAATGAATCAATTACACTGAAATACATTTATCAGAGTCTAAACATTAAAAATCAACAACAAGTTTACAGACCCCCAAGTTAAAAATCCCTAATAGTGCAGCCAAGTTTTCAAATGGAATTTTTTAAGAATTAAAAATGTTGGAATATATTGAAAAAAAATTACAGATCTGAACTCACCTCTTTCAACAGATTCCTTATATTTCTTCCTTAAGGTAGCCACCCTGGAAAAAAAGGGAAATTAGGACAACCATGACCCTAGTATTCCCAGGTGGATCTTGCCACTTGTATGGTCTTGTCAAGGTATGGAGATCTGGACCCTAAGGGTAATCCCAAGGGAGCCGTCACAGGAAGGCCTTCTTCAGTGGCCCATCCCTACATGTCCCCTTGAGAAAACAGAGGCTTGCAAGGCTATGCTGCTGGGATCTAAGACACAAGCAGTGTAGGGCAGGAGGCATGTTTGTTTCTTTCAGCCTTGTCAATAGAGGGCTTTCTTTGGAGAATTCTATATGAATGCAGTGCATAGGACATTTTCAGTATCTTTCCATTTATTTTCCCCCTTCTCTCCCAGAGTGAGCTGTCAGTCTGGCATGGCTTGGTCATTTTCCATCAGAATGAGTGGCAGCGCGTTATAGTGGAAAGTCCTCTGACCCTGTTGTGTGGGTATGGACAAGGTCATTTTATCTCTAAACCTTAGCTCACTTCAAAGTAAGAATTAATAATATTGATACTGCTGACCTCAGAGGATTTTAAGGGCCATAAACTCGGTAAAACTGGGAGTTACCATCACAGTCAACTTTTAACCATAAATTAATCATTGGTCACAGTTCAAATGCTCTTTAGTATCGTTTCCATTTACATTTTTGTCATAATTGTGCATATTGTTTTCTTGGTTCTGCTAATTCAGCATCATTTCATTTAAATCTTAGCATTTTTCTGTAATTTCTCATATCCGTTATTTCTTATTATGTAAGTAATATTCTGTCACATTCATATGCTACAATTATTTAGCCATTCCTCAAACAAGGTAGCCCATTGTTTTTTCTTTCTATTTTCTTTCCAGTTTTTGCTACCACCAAAAAAAATGTGATTTAAAAAGTACCTTGGCATATATGAGAACTCTCTGTCTTTAACTTCTTTGGGGTACCCACCTAATAGTGGTTTAATGATGCATGTCACATAATTTCTGGTGTAATTTTTTACATTTAGATCTTTTATCCATTGATCATAAAGTTCTTTCTTCAGTTTAAATACTTCTTGATTAGATCTGCAGACTTCAGGAAAATAGTTTTTCATTTAATATGGATGCCTTTTATTTTTAACACCACAGTGATTTCCCAACATGTGCTGTCTACCCTGCCCCAATAACAAAGAGAAGTTAGCAAAACAGACCAACAAAGCAACCGTCTTTGACGGTCTGTGCGGCCCTCCGTGCCTGCAAAGCCCATGTTTTTGCCAATACTTGTAGGTGCACTCTGTCCCTGGCCGAGAGCCCAGCATTTCTATGTTTAAAACCAACATTTGGAAACGCAAATCTCATTCTTAGAAACCAGTGTTCTTAATCAGCTTCTCTTTTCCTTGACAAGACCCTACCTTACTCTTTCAAGCCTCATGCTGGCCATTTATATAGTGTTGAAAGCAATGTCGGTGCCCGCGAGGTCTTCAGTTTTTTGCATAGGACTTCGTGATCTTTAGCATTTGGTCCCTCTGGGGCCATCGCTTGTCTCAAAATGAAATCACCAGAAGTGAGCAATGATTACTGAGTTTGTGTTCATGTGGCGTTCATTCATTGTACTTGTGACCCCAGTGCTGGGACAGGGACACAGAACAAGTACTTTATAAATACTTATTGATTAATTAACATTATTTGGAGACTTTCCATCACACCCTGGATACTTTCCTTTGGGCAGACTGACCAACCTCCCTGTTTATGTCCAATTAATTACAAATTATGTCAGTATCCCCTTCAACAGAAAGTCTTCTTTCTTTGACCATTATTGGATAAAGCCTTGACTGATGGCACCTGGGAATTTGCATCATCATTTCTTGGAGCCCAAGAATCTGCTTCCCTCTGTAAGAAGATTTTATGCCCGTTTTGAAGCTCCAAGAGTCCGTGGTCCCTCTCCTACTCCTTTGGGACACACTTTTTCACCCTCCACCCTCCTGACACAGGCGAAAATTCTCCTCTGATTATCTATGACCTTTTTCTTTTTTCTTTCCTCCTTGAAATACTTCCTACATTCTTTGTAGGAACACTTTGCTTTCCTTCATGCCCTGGACAGTAGAGTGGCCTTCCTCGAGCCCTTCTGCTTTTTCCTCTAAGACTGAGATCTCCGTGCTTTGTAGACACATCGGTGACCCATGGTACTGGTGAAACCCGAAGCAAAGCACAGTCTTGAAGATCACTGCAAGTTCTCCTTGTCCACCATATTTGATTGAAAGACCACTGTCCGTTGTCCTTTTTTTAGTGGCTGTCTCCTCTAACCCTTGTGGCTAATTACTTTGTCAAGTTATGTACTTGCAAGACAGAGTTTGAGGTGTGAGTATGCCGAGGTCATCTACCTGGCTTCCCCTTGCTACTGACCTCTTAATACTTCCATGTCCTTCCTTGGGCATCAGCCCCTTTGTCTCCACTTGAGAGATATGGTTTAATTTTTTTAGCCACCAGAAGCATACAGCACAGAATTCAGCTATCTCATGAGCTTCCTCACCTGGCTGCTGCTCTACACACACTTCCATGGACCTTGGGGGTTGAGGCTTCACTTATTTACTGTACAGAGACCAGCAAGGGCGGGTGACAAAATCCAGCTGTGTGAGACCTTTGTGTCTCCTTTTTATCTTGCCCCTCTTGTCCAGAACCTTCCGCTCTGCCCAGGTTCTCTGGTAAGTGTGTGACAAGTGGTATATGCCTGTGACGGGGGTGACTTGGGTCCTGACTCGAAAACACCTGTCTTGGTGGAATCGGACTTTTTCACACTGTTCACTAATCAGATGAGAGAGGTAGCCCAGCTAGCACCTGCCATCTTTGTTTCTGTGTTTATCTTTTAAATTAGAGCCTGTGCTGTGTGATGACAGGTTTTTGTCATTTTTTAAAAGCTGGGCATCCCCACAGCCGTTTTCCTGAAGTCTGTAACCAAAAGACCTTCTCTTGGGCTTCCTGCTTTGTGACCTTCTTCTCTCATTCCCCTCAGTTCTGTGAACCTCTCATTCTCTTTACGCTCCCCCCAAACAGCGCAAAACGTATCAGAGAGCCCTAGTGGTCGGGCCGGATGGAGTGAAATCATGTCGGTGTTTCTGGGAGGCTCAGTCACATAGCACCTTTATCCTGTTTCTTCTTTCCAGATTGGAACAATGATGGAAGCTTCTATTCCTGTGATTTCTGCTGCTCTTTTAGCAAGAGTTTGGTAAAATGCCATGGTCTCCAAAGTGATTTTAAATGTGTAAAGCATAACACAATGTACTTGTAATTAGCTTGGCCCTTGTCTACAACCTGGAATTCTGAAATAAATTCAGTGGTTTTTACCCCCTTCCTTCCTTATCTTTTATCAATCCTAGGACTGACCTTTAACTGGGGAGCATTACTGGGATGGTCCGCCATCAAAGGCTCCTGTGATGTGTCTGTGTGCCTACCCCTTTATCTCTCTGGAGTTATGTGGACGTTAATATATGACACTATCTATGCTCATCAGGTAATGTACCTCTTCAGACCTATTCTTTGGCTTTTCTCTGTGCCTCTTTCTTTGAAATCTGTTGCATTTAACTTTGTGGGCTTCCAATTGGGAGCTTTCTTTTTAATGTCATTGCACAGATACGGCTCGTGCACTTTAACCCCTTCCTTGAATGACAGTCACCAGCCCAGCTCAAAACACTGCAGTGTGTTCCTGTTAACTCTGAGTAAAAATGCCAGGTTCTGTGCCTGATGTTCAAGGCTGTCCGTGGTCTGCCTCCAGCCTGTCTTTTCACCTCATTTCACGTCGTCTCCTTTCACCGACTCCATCCATGTTCCAGCCAAACCGAGCTCTCATGGCTGTTTCCGAAGGTCAGCGGCCCATCTCTGGTCTCCGTGCACTCATGCAGTCTGACCCTGTGCCTGGAGAACATGCCCTCATCATCCCCTCCCCCGCTTCGGGCTCAGCTCGGCTACCCCTTCCTCGGCAAAGCCTTCTCCAATTTCCCCAGCTCTTGGTCCCCTCCTTCACCAGATGCTTTTTTTCTCTGTGTGCAAGGTCTGGGAGAATGGAGGCTCCTCAGAGGGCAGAAGTGATCTCTGCACCCCCAAGACTTCCCACTACACCCTGCACACAGTAGGCACTTAATTCATGTGTGCTGAATTGAATTGAAATGGAAGGGGTATTCATGCTCAGGCTATGAAAGATGTTTTCACTCGTAACTCTTAGTTTTCTAGCCACAATTTCACGCTCTCACCTTCTGTACCATGCCTCGGTGTGTGTATCTGTGTGCCTTGAGGAAGGTGGCCATACCCTAAAATAGCTGGGAAGTGTCTGAGGCTGGATTCAAACTCAGATCTTTCTGGCTCCATGCCCCGTGCTCTGTGCACTATGGCACCACCGAACTGCCTGCTTCTAATGCCTTCAGTGTGGGTGTAGATCATTCACATAAAACTTTGTACGTATGGGAAAGTAGGCAGATAAGTCAGTAATTGTTGATGTTCTCACCAGTCCTTTTTTTTTTTTTGATGAACAAAGTCTAAGTTTTTCCCCTTTGGTATTCATGTGTGCTGAATTGAACTGAAATCAAAGAGGTTAAGAAAGATGATCAGAGTTAAAAAGGATGGGTAGACCTATCCTTCTGACACCCCGTGGGTCATTCGCTCAAAACTCTCCCAATTTTGTCACCCACCACACAGGTCCCTTCTGTGTGCCCTTGGTCTGATCCAGCTGCTTTTCCATTGTTGTTCTCTTTTGAGAACCTTCCTCCCTCAAGCACATCTGGTACCATGACAGTTAAAAAATAAATGGCGCCTTCCAGCCATTAGCCATTTTCATTGTTAAATATCCCCCAGATGACTTTGCTGAGTTGGGTCTGTGGTCAGACTTTCATTAAACAGGATATCCCCTGCACTCCTCTCTGTTTGTGAGGCCATATTCCATTGCCTTTCTCAGTCGTGCTTTACGAATGAGTCTATGTTCTAACCTGGTGTTACCTCTGCCAGGCATGTTGAGTGTTTGATGACCGGCTGGTCCTTTTGAGCATCTGTGGCCATTGGTTTATAGCAGTTAAACTTCTCTATGAAATGACTCTAGTCTATGTCTGTCCCTTTTCCGTCCACATCCCATTTCCCATCGTTAGTAACTTTAAATTGGTCAAGATGGAGTAGTCTTAATTGCCTCTCCTGCTTTTTTTAAAAAAATTTTTATTCTTCTAACTTTGTAGACTCTAACAAGTCTATGATCCATGCTAATTCAGAGACGGCTCCCTCATCAATAGTAATAAGAATCAGTTTCACTTTTTGTGAAACGATTGCTGTGAATGTGGTTTGTTTTTGTGAAACCGATGCTATTCGGTGCCTGCCACGTCTCGTAGCTGGTTCTTTTTTTCCAGGAAGGTAGTCCCGAGGCATCTGGATAGTCAACAGTTTGGTCCCTCTTCTCCCTCCTTCCTAATTGTAGATTTGGAACCGAAAGGGAACTTCAGAGGCTAGCCTCTCGATTTGTAGGTGAGGAAACTGAGTCCCATGGTGCTTGAATGACTTACCCAAGATCAGTCAGAGGCAGGATTTGAACCCAGAGCCTCTAGCTCAGAAGCCACTACTTTCCAGAGTGTTTCACTTGTTCCTGTTTTCCATTGTCTTTTTGCCCTTGGGCACCTGTTAATAGCAGCTCCACCAGGTCTTTCTCAAAAGAGAACATAGGTACAACCATTTTTCCAACTGGCTGCGACTTCCTTCTTTCTTCTAGTTTTGTTTATAACATGAATGTAAAGATTGAGAAGTTCCTCCAGGGATGTACCCCCTCGGTCACTGGACAAGAGTATCGCATTGAGAGTACCACGTACAGTAGAGTCCAGCATAACCAAGTTTATCATTATTGTTGTACTATGAATTTAGAAGACTGCAAATCAAATCATACCCTGCAAACATAAAAATTTCACGGACTTTGAAGTATGACGTAGCACAGACTGTAAGGCAGATGTTAGACCGTTTTCTAGTGTCAGCATTATAAGAAGTTTCAGCCATCTACCGACAGGGCAGCACATAGAAATTACTTAAATAACGTCTGTGCAGATAGGTTGATGTATTGAAGAATTTACATCTATGCTTGTGTGGTAGGTACCAACATCTGCTCCACACAGACTAGTCTTTCCCAAAAGGTAGAGAAATTGTACTTGAGACTTACTCAGTGCAGGAGACTAAGCTCTGAATAAGACTAAGGTGCGCACCATGGACATACTTCCTAGTTGCCTAAAGCATGATGAAACCGGGCGCCTCAGCAGGCACACCTGGAGCAGCATGGTGGATAGAGGGCCAGCCCTGGAGTCAGGAGGACTCATCTTCCTGAGTTCAAATCTGGCCTCAGACACGTCCTAGCTGTGTGACCCGGCCAAGTCACTTTACCTTGTTTGCCTCAGTTTCCTCATCTGTAATATGAGCTAGAGAAGGAAATGGCAAACCACTCCAATATCTCTGCCAAGAACACCCCAAATGGGGTCACAAAGAGTTGGTCACACGTGAAACAACCGAACAATAACAATAACTGTGGCAAATGCACATGTGAAGTGGCATCAGTCCTTGTCAAATATGCTTTCCGTGTTATCGCTAAATAAGCTTCTTCTGTTAAAAGTTGTGTGATCCACAAGGGTCTCTCCCAATCCCAAGCCTGAGCTACCAGATTTTCCTGAATCAGGCCTGCCCAAAATGATGCACGTCATTTGGGGAGAGCTGACAAGTCTGTGGACAAATGAAAACCAAGTTATGCTTAACTGAGAATAATTTCACAGAGGAAGCCAAAGATAAATTGTGTTGTAAATGAAACACGCACTTAGGGATGTATGTCCTGGCTGCTTAGCACCGTTAAACCTTCAAGAACACAAGAAAAGTGGGCGCTTTCATGAGAAGGAGGGGTGTGCACAGCAGAGCAAGAGCGACAGGCCTTGAATCACATTGCCATGATGCTGATCCTCGCATCGGCTTTGAGAGGGTGCTTAGGTAGCTTTCATGCTCCCTGCCTTTACCGTTCATGCAGGACACAGCCAGCTGTTACTCAGATCATTCAGTGAGCCACACTGGAGCACATGAGAGTTGGACCTTGGGTGGTGCTTTCGCCTTGGAGATGACACTTACCTCATACACACACACTTAGAGAGCATTGACTGCTCAGTGTCAGTGAATTGGTCTGATGACCCTGGAACCCAGCAGTGGGAAACCTGCGGCCTTCAGGCTACATGTGGCTCTGGATCCTTAAGTGGGTCCTGAACGGATTCAGTCAGAGGCTGCGCTGAATGATCCAGAAGGCCGCAGGTTCTCCCTCCTTTAAGACAGGAACCAGCGTTATGATGAAATAAGAATTGACATTTAAGGATCCGTGAAGCCCATTACGACGATCTCAGCCGACCTTTAAAAGTCTCTTCTTCAACCCTGAGCAGACTTCTGAGATCTGGAAAATTAGGCTATGAAAATTCATACAGGGCCCTTCTGCCAAGCCAGTTTTCTTCTCCATAGTTCGCAAATCACCAGCGTGTTGTTTAAAACAAAATTTCTCTTTGCCAGGACAAAAGAGACGATGCCTTGATTGGGCTCAAATCCACTGCGCTTCGGTTCAGGGAAGACACCAAACAGTGGCTAAGCTGCTTCAGCGTTGTCATGCTGGGCGGCCTGACTCTGGCTGGACTCAACTGTGACCAGACCGCACCCTACTATGCTGCCGTGGCTGCCGTAGGGGCTCACTTGGCTCGCCAGGTTTGTCATGGTACCCCTCAAGAGCACCACATTACTGCCATGGTGCATTAAGATTAGACAGCTCCCTAATAAGCACGGGCCATTCCGCTCTGAACATGCAATCCTATCTGCCCCTCTTGACGTGGGGAGAGGCCAGTAGCCATTAGAACTGATGTATAGACTCGCTAATAGTGTCTCTATAGGTATTGATTTTCCTGGAATGCACTTCAAAAAGGCTAGCTCTTGCAGGGTTGATATAGAATCCTCTATTCTTGGTGTTTGAAGGGAACCCAGAGGCCAAGTCCAACCCGTACCTCAAGCATGAGCCCTTACTCCAGCATCCCTAACAGATGACCCACCATCTTGTGCTTGAACACCTCCGTGGTGGGAAACTTACCAGCTCTTGAAGCAATCCACTTTATTTTTAGACAGTTCTGCTTGTGACTGAGTTCCTTCTGGTTAACTGAGTCTCCCTGTAGCCTCCACCCACCCGTTCTACTTTTTAACTGACTTCTGGAGCCAAGCCGAATGCCTTACCCCCTGCTAGATGACAAGCCTTCACATATTTCAAGTTTTATTTTTTCACATCAAGCACTCCCAGTTCCTTCATTAACGACATTATATGACACGTTTTTGAGTCACTCCAGGAAAGGGAGTCCTTCCCCAGTGGCAAACAGACCAGTGCTAGTAATGTAAATGTCCCAAGGGTGGAGTCTCACTGAGATAACGAGGGGCCAATACTCCTATGCCATGAAATTACTGTAAATATGCCGTGATACTAGCCAACCAGTGACAGCCTAGCATTTGTTCTGGGGCAGCCTTTCCTATCTTGCCCACCAAGTGACCTCTATAAAATGAGTGGGCTAAATGAATGAGTCATCATAAAATTGACCATAATGTTGTATCACCAGGTTTGTCATGGTACCAGTGAAAAGCATCGCTTTATTGCAGTGACACCTTGATTGGACAGCTCCTTGATAAGGACAGCCCATTTTGCTCTGAGGTTTTTTTTGTTTTCTTCACTTACAAAGGCTAAAGATTGGACTGAATCTGTATTTTTAGTTTAGTCAGTTTACCAAAGGTCATTTGTCAATCTGGGGAAATCAAATCTGTGGAAACACCCTCCAAAGACAACCAAATCTACTTTTAAGTGAATCGGCTGACCAGACTAATATTTCACTCTCACTTTTATCCTCATTTCATAGGGGGAAAGACTTTAAGATAAAAATTCTCAATTACTCTCTGGCATTAGGAAAAAGAGGTGATGTTCTCATGGACAGCTAGGGTAATGGTATTGGCTCCCCCTATACACACACACACAGGGAGGAGCTAACACATGCAAAGGAAGAGTGAGTGGCTGAGGTTACATTTTTTTTTCCCTTTACCTAATTTATTTTTAGTTTTCAACATTCATTTCCATAAGATTTTGAGTTCTAAATTTTCTCACCCTCCCTCTTTTCCCACCTCCCCAAGACAGCGTGCAATCTGATATAGCTCTATATATACATTCATATTAAACATATTTCCACATTAGTCATGTTGTAAAGAAGAATTAGATTAGGTCGCATCTCTTGCATTATAATCAAAGGACAGGCCATTTGATGCAATTTTCTTCTCAATTTATATCCCCTCCACACAAGTGAATCTCTTTTAGCTGAGAATTTGCATTCATCTTTCTAACCCATTGGGGCTTGTTTCTTGTCTCTGAGAACAAGGCCTCCATTTTAGAAGATGCCTTCCTGTGTGTGGCACTTTCCACTAGGGCTGCCCTCATCTGCCCCACCCCTCCCTTTGCATAGACTCTCATTCTTTCCTCCTGACCACCACCACTTCTTAGAATGGGTCCTGTCACAGTGGGCAAGGAATAGCTCCTCTCTTTTAAGAAGAAGCTTCTAAAGAGTCATTGAGTATTAAATGCTCCTCCTCTAGCAACCAAGCTCATTCTGCCTTGTGTTATCATCACTAGAAGGCCTTATTCCACGGCCCTTCCATCAGCCTTGGGAAAAGAATATTTTAGAATAAAAGAAAACTTAGAAGGAAGCGTAGAAAGCAGAATAGTGATGTAGCCCTTATTAGGCAGTCTTTTTAAAAAAAAAAGGTATACAGCGTGAAATGTAAATTCATGGTTTTATAGCGAATCCTCATTTTATGTTGCACTGTGTACATGGACATTTTTTGGTTTTGTTTTTATGTATTTAAGTTCAAAATGAATTTTTAAAAATAAAAAAATAAAAGACTTGTCTATGTTCAGGGAACTTGTAGTCCTTGGACAGACATCAGCAGAGAGTCAACAGACACCTGTGCATTGATAAAATTAAAACAGCCCAGTGTTTCATTGGATAAAAGTATTTAATAACAAGTGGCAGTCTGGATCAGTGTGATTCACAAAGAAGGCCGAGGAATACACAATTGGAATGTAGAATGGAAACTGGAAGTGATTGGGAGGTTTCTAATTCCAGGCCTCCAGGTAGTGAGTGAAGCCACTGATCTCACTTTAGCATTATTCTTTCCTCTAAGAATGGTAGTGGCCCGATCGATCGAAGAAGGCAGTACCTCCATTAAACTCTTAGAACGTCACCTTGAGTATCCTAGATCTGGGGCTGGAAGAAGCCCCAGCAGCCATTGAGTGTGACTGCCTCTTTTTATAGAAGAGGAAACTCAGATCTAGAGAGATTTTGGCCCAAAGTCTTTGTCCAAGGTCACCCAGGTAGTAAACATTATAGGAAGGATTTGAACCCAGGTCTTCTGACTCCAAAGTCAGTGACCTTTCCACTGTACACTCCAGTCTAATCAGACCACACTGGAGTTTTTTTGGTCACTTATTGGCACCACCTTTAAAGAGAGGCGTTGGCTAACCAGAACATATCTACAAAATGGTGATGGGGATAGAATGGAGACTTGAAATCGTGTCTTGAAGAACGGTTAAAGGCACGGGAAGTGTTCAGCCTAGAAAAGAGAAAATTGGGAGTGGGGGGAGGGGATAGATAAGCGCAGTCTTTAACTAATTAAAGGGCTGTCCTGGAGAAGAGCCAGCTTTGTGTTGTGAGAATAGATTGAGGGCCAGTGGTTCAGAACTTCAGAATTTGACTCAGCCTAAGAAAGAACTTTGTAACAGTTAGAGTTGGCTATTAAGTCTTAAAAAATAATGAGTTCCCATCCCTGGCAGTGTTGCAGTCAGTCAACAAGCACTGATTGGATACTCTATGCCAGGCATTGTGGTAAGCTTTGGGAATATACAAGCACAAGCAGAAAGAGAGTCCCTGCCCTCAGGGAACTTACTTTCCTTGGAGTGGAGGAAGACAAGCCGTCTAAGGAAGGTAGAAGAGCAGGGGGGGGCTGTAGGAGATGAAGGGAGCCAGCTCAGGGGCATTGTAAATAAAGTCCAGGAGGAGAGGCAGGAGTGGAAAGAATACGTGAGTGGCCTGGGCATCCTTCTTAAAATGGAGGAGCAGAGAGGAAGCAGCCATTGAAAGGGAGAGGAAGCAGAGCTGATGTCAGGGATCAGTTACTGCGTTTGGCAGGGTCTTGGACTGGCTATTAGCCTAGTTAGTCCAGTTTTATTAGTTCTTGCCAGTTTCGTAATTCCATAATAAGATGTTCTCTTCTCAGTGATGACCCTGTTCTTCATTGGTGC